GTTAAAAAAGCACGTTTAGCAAAGAAAGCACATCGGTCGCGGGCGTCGACTCGTGAACCACATGCATGGGAACCGTTATGTGCAGAGCTTCAGGTGTAGGTGTGCCAGGAGGCCGGGGCCACAGTCTGACAGGAAAATACGATCTCGTGTGTGGGGTGACCTCCAGCTTCCAGGCAACCAGAATGATGAGGGGACTGGAGGGTAAGTCTCATGAAGAGCGGCTGAGGGAGCTGGGGCTGTTCAGCTGGCGAAGAGGAGGCCGAAGGGGGACGAGGGGAGACCTTATTGCCCTCTACAACTACCTGAAAGGCAGCTGCAGTGAGACGGGTGTTGGCCTCTTCTCCCCAGTGAATAGCGATAGGACAAGAGGGAACAGGTTCAAGTTGCGCCCGGGGAAGTTTAGATTGGATATTAGGAAAAACTTCTTCACCGAAAGGGCGGTGAAGCATTGGAATGGGTTGCCAAAGGAGATGGTGGAGTCACCATCCCTGGACGTGTTTAAAAAACGGTTGGATGTGGCACTTCAGAAGATGGTTTAGTGTTAGGGTGGTGTAGAGCTGTAGGTTGGACAACCTTTATGGTTTCCAACCTTTATGATTCTATGATTCTCGGGGTAATCCGGTGACATTATCCCAGCTCTGTTCCTGCAGAGACCTTGCTGGCTGCCAGAGCGGTGCCTGTTGTCGCTGCTAGCCTTTCTGTCACCTCTGCTGGGGTCCCTGCAGGACTGACAGTTCTGAGGCAGCATCTGGTTTTGCAGGAGGGCTCTGCAGCACGTTAATGGCACAGGTGTTGGATGGAGCTGAGTAGTTCCTGAGTAGGTTTTGTCAGAGATTCTCATGCAAGGAGATTCTCTGTGAGGATGTTGCGGGCAGTAACAGCTTTATTGTTTGTACAGCCCTTGTTACTTGTCTTTGCTTTCTTCTCGAACGCAACAGCAATGGCCAGCGGGGAGAAAACTGTGCCCGTGTTGCTGGTGTGCTCCTCCACCCCTGGGCCTCTCCTTCCTTGGAACCAAAATGTAACGTTTTAGGATGAGTTGGAGAAGGGTGAATTGCTTTCTCCTTCTGCAGAGCCACTGTTACCCTGAGCAGCATCTTCCTGGACACGGGTTGTTTATTCTTTTACCATCTTTGGTCACCTGTAACGGTCCCCAGCAGTTTCTGGGCACTGCAGTTCTTGACTTTACTGTTTCGTTTCCACAAACTGACTGCTTCCACGTGGAATCAAATCGGATCCTGTAGGAATCGTCAGGTATTTCATTGCATTGGATCCCATGAATGCTTGTCACTACGTACGCCAAAAGAGACAAACTCCTTTCTGTGACTGTAGGGTGGATCCTCAGACTCACTGTGAAATTCAGCAAGAACAGAAATGTTTTGTTTCCACAAAACGGAATGGCAGCTGGCAACAAGAGTAAAGAGCTTTAAGGGCTTCTACTTGAGAATTTAAGTTCAGAATGGCGTTGCTGGCACTGATTATTTAATCTCTTGGAAAAGGAGACTCATTTGTATCTCCTGACATGCGAGATACCTGTTTCAGTCTGGTTTTCGCTTCAGGGTGAAGGCCCTGCCTTTTAGTGTTTCTGTGGGAGAGTCCTCAGAAAAGTACCTTCCACTGCCTGGTCACAGGACACATCAGTGACTGAGGGGTTTCATTTTCTGAAAGATTGGCTTGTAAAAGGCTTTTTGTGGTTTGCCTAACTAATTTGGTGAGACTCCTCCGAAGGGTCTAGGCTCGCTAGGCCCTGGGGTAAGTTGATGCTGTACCTGATTCTGAGCTGGTACTGGTCTTGCCTTCAGGTGTTTCTTTCTCAGACGTGTTTCCACGCTCTGCTGAATGGGTTTTCCAGCAGTGCTGCTTGTGCTAGCTGTGACCCTCACCGGGTTCCTTGAACCCGTCTCCTTTCTGACTCCGTGTCGGTGGCTAACGGCCGCGGTGTCCCGCGGCAGGGCACCTCACAGCTCGTTCGGTGCACGGAACCACCTCCTCTAGATTGTTCTGATCCTGCCTTCTCCAAGCTCCCTTTGATTTGCTGCTGTGAGACACGGTGAGAAAAGCGTTTGTTCTCCATCCTAAGCCCCTTGTGACTTTATTACCTTCTGTGACATCCATGATGTCTTTTCCAGACGAAAGAATCTTTGCTTGCTTAGATCTTCCTTATGTATGCTTTTGATCCCCTTGGTCTACATCATTCTCAGTTCAGCCTTTTTTTATTTTTTCACCCCTCCACTTAGAGGAGAAGTATCCAAAACGCCCGTAGAGCTCCAGAGAACAGCGCCCCGGAGACTTTGACAGCGACACGGAGTTCTTTTGGGCTCTCTATTTTCATCCCCCTGCCCCGAGAGCCTGGCTGCCTCGCCAGAAGTCCTTGCTGGGACTGCATTGGCCAGTTCTCCATCTGTCACGATCCCAGTAGGGAACTGGTGTCCTTAAGCTCTTATATTTTTAGGAGCTGGTCTCCACAGAGGTAAACAACTAGTTCCTGTGGGTTTGTGCTGGTAGTTTGCGGCACTGGGACGACCGCACGTTACCATTTGCGAATGAGCGAGCTTAAAATGAAACGGAAAAAGGTAAAACTTAAAATGGGCGAGGGTTACAGAAATCAGCCTTTCGGAGCATCAGGAGTTTCCTGTTGCGCGTGTCAAGCGCCTCACTGTGCTCTTAATATTGGTTTCAAAGAATTCAACCTGTTCTAAACTTCTGTCGCGTCCTGTGATTTTTACACCGTTGAGCACACCCGTGCGATCCGACAGGAGCAGGCGCGCGCTCGCCTTGTCTCCGTTGCACCGCGCTTGGTTTGCGTCTGCTCAAAAGGAGATGATGCTCCTTTTTGCTTGAGCCATTTTTCTTCTTCCAGCCTTTAAACTGTCAAATACAAATGCGTGGGGACTTCCACAGTCGTATTTACTGTCCGTCCAGTTGCAAGATTTAATTTTTGTTGGTGACATTTATAGAAGATGAGCCCAAATCCTCCCTGCCAGTAGATTACTCTGTTATTTTCAGCAGTAAATATTTTCAAGATCGTTCTGATGCACTCCTTGTGTGAGTGTTCTGCTACATGTCAGATAAGAAGGAGATAATTCAAATTATCTTTGTTCATCTTAATGAAGACGACTGCTGAAACCTCATGTCACGCAAAATAAGGAGAGAGCACGCTGGATTAATTCAGTCGATATTTCATAAGGTGCTTTGTAGCATCTGAATAAAACCTGTGTGTGTTTCGCAAAGCAACTGTTGCTGCTGTTTCTCTTTTTAGTGTCTCTGCTACAAAAACACCTGGAAATGCGGCTGGGGTTGCAGTTTTGTTATGCCGGTGGGTGGCACCGTGGATAGTTTGACTCAGAGGCTGGACCTTCCCTGAGCGGTGTCAGGGTTTGCTTCCATGTGTTCCAATTAACGTGAGTGTTTCAGGATGGGGAGATGAGTAACCGCCTCTTTCCGAAACACATCGTGATTCTTGTTGCTTGCAGGCTGGGATTTTTTTTCCCCGAAGGTGGTGATACCGGTTCTCTTTTTACACACGGTCTTTGCTTTTTCATTGGAAGCTTCTAAAGAAAACAGAATTTGTCACATTTATAAAACTAAGGGGACTTTTTGTTTCTGAAGAAAGATCAGTTGGGAAGGGGTCAACAGTTGGTAAGAGTTCAAACAGAGAACAAAACCCAGCTGGTGGCTTGCTGTGGTGTCACCGGCTGAGGAGAATTCCAACACCTCTCCTCAGAGTTCCCGCTTGGGTGGATGCTGACGGCGGTTCCGCTGGTTGTGGCCAGAAGCAGTTCTAGGACAAACGGGCGAGTGGGAATCCGAAGGGATTAATTTAGAAGGAGCCACTTAGAAGAACAAAAGAAGCGTGACTTCACCGAGGCCTTAAAAAAAATAATAATTCAGCGCAAACCCCTGCATGCCTGGAGATTAAATGGAAGGAGATATTTTTAACCGTCCCGAGTTCAGTAGAACTTCTAACTACCCACAATGGACGTAGCGGAGTGCCCTTTTCCTTTCTGAAAGCGGTTTTCTTCCCTCTAGGATATATTTTTCAGAGGTTTTCTGGCGTGGCTTAATTATTCACATAGGACTGTTACGCTCCAAGTAGTTGCTTTCAGTTTGTGTATTTAATTTGGAAGCAAGATTTATGTGCCTGAAAGCTTGCCTATTCTTTCCAGCTATCTCAGTCAGTCTAATAAAAGCTATTACCTCATCTCCCAGAGCTTTATCTCATTTCTACAGCAGCGCTGGTTTTGCTGCCGGTGCGATAGACTCCGCGTCCTGTCCTCTTGGCGTTTCCTGTCACTCCCAGTTTGTGCCTCGCCACCTCTGCTTAGTCCTGGTGTGCTCGGGTGTGTTTTTGAGTTTCGAAGCTCGGGAGAGATGCTTTGTGGCTTCACCAAGCTGCTTTCTTACCTCTCTTCTGCAGCAGGATCGTTAGATTCATCCTTTAATGCCGTTTCTCTATGGATTGCAAGTTGTGGAGGTTTTGTTTTATTCGTTAGGACCTTTGAAACTTCTGAATGTGGTGGGAAGCGCGGGAGCTAGGCGTTCCGGCAAGATGCATTTAGTATCAAAATACACCTTTTGTTGATGCTGACTTGTCTCTCTTCACGTTTTAGGAAGCGCGGATGGAACAGAAAGCTGAGGAGCCTCCGTGTAGCCCCTGATGCTTGAATGAACGCGGCAGGAAAATGCTCCCTGGAGTGGGCGTGTTTGGAACAGGCAGCACCGCCCGGGTCCTCGTACCCTTGCTCAGAGCAGAAGGTTTCTCCGTCGAAGCACTTTGGGGAAAGACTGAGGAGGAAGCCAAGCAGCTGGCGGAGGAAATGAACATCTCCTTCTACACGAGTCGCACCGATGACGTCTTGCTGCACCAGGACGTAGATTTGGTTTGCATCAATATCCCTCCGCCACTAACTCGGCAAATTGCTGTGAAGGCTCTAGGTACCTTTTTATCTTGGGGAGTTGGGCCACAAAACCCGTAGCTCGTTGGGCAGGTTGAAATCGGAGGCCTGGCACGGTTCCTGTCGCACCAACGCGCGGACACGGTGCCCAGGGGTTTGTGTGGGATCGGTAGCGCCGCCTGTGGGAAAGGTTGCCTAGAATTTTGTGTAAAAATACCGTTTATAACTGCTTGTAGCTTTGCAGGTCTTGAACCAATTGGGCTCAACTATCTGATGTCTTCATCAGACTGAGCTTATGGTGGGGAGGTTGTAATAAAAAGGAGCTGTTGCAGAGATGGTGATGAAGTAAAATGGTGTTGTGGCTGTTTAAAAAAAAAACAACAACCAAACAAAAGCACCGAAACCAATGGACAAAAACAGCTTAAGTTCCTTAAATAATTTCAAATCTGTGGTAGGAATTCTGCAGTAGGCAGCCAAGATTTGCCTGGAGCAGGGAGCCTGTTCAGCTCTGCTTTCTGTTTTCCCCACAAATAAACCCAAACTTGAAAGTCAGAAGCCTCTGGAAAAAAAAATTGTATTGGCCTGCACTCAGTAGTGTCCCCTTGAGTCAGGAGCTGTGTTCTTTGGGCTGTGACCATGGCTACCACCCGTCCCCGCAGCAGGCCCAGGTGCAGACTTTTGGGAGGAATCCTTCCTCCTGAGGCAAGAGGGCAGATGCTGGCAGGGGAGGAGACGTTGGGGACAGCGAGAAGGGCTGGGAACTGGTGTCCATCACCCCAAACTGGTTGGACAGGGAGGTGGGAGCCGGCTTTCCGGGCATCCCAGCATTTCTTAAATCTCCGGCGCGTGACTTTGTAGTGTTAATGTCCCCTCGCGTCGTATGGTACACCGTGGGCGGGAGTTTGCGCGTAATTCTGTAAATAACAGGCGTGACATTTTTGCAGCGTTGATGGGAGATCCACAGGAGGTAATTTTAGGCTGGGTAATATCTCGAGCCTGTGTGAGGCAGGGTGGGTTGTTGTTCTTAGCCTCTTTGCACCGCAGTAATTTGTCTGGGAAGTAAACAGCTCCCTGCACAAGCATTTGCAAAGTCACTTGGACATGCAGAGAGAGATTTCAGGCTTTTTCTTTCTCTTTTTCACCTTGTGAGATTTGTTTGCTTACCTGAAGAGTACTGTCCTTTGAACTGAAGCTATTTCAACTTTTGAATATTTGAGCTGGAAGTTAGAATTTATCTCCTTGAATTTGCTCTCAGTTCTTTTAAATACTCATCAGGCAATAAGTACTTCTCCTGGCCCGTGATGATCAAGTTGGTCTAAAAGGGGAGGATTGAACCTTCTCTGCTGAATTATAAACTAAACCGCATTGAGATTCTTTCCTTGGAGGCTGGGAACCCGTGAGATGGCCTTATCCAGAGGAGGAAAGGGGGCTAAAGCTCCTGCAGATGTACTGAGGTGGTTTGTACGCTCAGCTCCAAGTCTCCCTAGATGGAAGTTTTTCCAGGCGGTGCAATTTGCTGGCTTAATTTTCTTACTGACAGAAACAATCCATAAACGAGCCTGGGTAGAGCTTTGGCCTGACGGGAACGGTAATGCTGGCTCGAGTTCGGGAACCAGAGAGAGCATCTCGAAACTCAGAGGGCAATTCAAATTAAAATCAGCGTAACCTTATAGTTTACCTCCACGGCAGGTGAAGTGGGAAGACGTCCAAAAATTTGTGCTTCTTTTGATCTCGGAGGAACTAAACTTCCCCAAAAGCCTGTGTTGTGATCGATGTCCCACAGTTAAAACGCAGCCACCTTTGCGTGAGGCGAGCGCGGAGCGGAGTTACTGGCCAGAGCGGAATGTAAAATACGGGGTGTTTGTGCATGAGGTGAAGTGTAGGGAGGCGGGACGTGAGAAGTCTTCCACGTTTCACCACGTTTGGGTGCTTTGTGGAGTGGCCACAGAGGAGCCTTTCACTTGTCTCTCTCCATTTATACTGGTTGACTACATCATTTAAGACAGGTGAGATTGTTGGACCCTCTAATTTCACGCTGTCCCTACAAATTATGTCGTTGAGAGGCTCCCAGAGCAAGTAAGTCTGAAACAGCCAGTTATTTGGGAAGACTCCTCAGACACTCCCAGGTTTTATGGTGGACGAGGCCTGGTGTGCTTCAACAGCGGCCAGTTTTGCATCTTCCTCGGTGCCGGGTGAAGGAAGATGCCATCACTCCATGGCCCGGGTGGATAATGAGAGAAACGACAAGTATTTTAAGTGATAAAGTAATCGGGGAGTGTACCTAGTGTGAGGGCTTTGGGCGGTCTGCCGTAAGTAAAAATGCTTGGGAAAAAAAAGGGAACAACCAAAAAAAAAATGGATAATTGGAAGAAGGAAAAAAGACTCACTTCACCAACTGTGGCCTGCTGGTAGATTAAAGGAGTAGACAGAGCAGCCGTGAGATGTGTTAAGTGCTGATGGCAAAGGATCGTTGGTTCAGGTGTAACAGTGCTGTGGTGTAAGAATTCAGCGGTGATACGTGTTCTGTATATCTTTAAAATCACATAAAAAGCATCTCGACAGGGAGACTCGTTGGGCTTTTGGAACTAGAATCCGAATATACAAAACAGCTAAAATATGTGGGGTTTTTTCAGAAAAGAACAGCCAAACACTACTTGTTTGATTCCTTTTGCCTGGCCTCAAAACTCATCAGCCTTGTCATCAAACAAAGCATATTTTGTTGGACTTATTTCAATATCATCAATCTATTAGGCATTAATTAATTTGGTCTCGATGATAATTAAATGGTTTAGTGGCAGACCTGGCGTTGCTAGTTTAATGGTTGGACTTGAGGGTCTTAAAGGTCTTTTCCAACCTAAAAGATTCGGTGTGATTCTGTGATACCTCGGGGTGTAAAGAACTGGGAGATATTTACGTGAGGTAAATACATTTAGTAGTTTGAGTCAACTTTCTGTGGAGAGAGGCAGGGCTGGGGACTTTAGTTGTCGATGGCAAGTGTTGGGTGGGCGTCTGCGGCCGTGAGAGCCAGGCGGAGAAACAGCTGCAGAGGTGATGCCGCAGCCGTCACGGCACAAAGGCCGTCCCAGCCCAGCCCTCTCCTCACGCTGCACGGCAGGGCCAGGGTGGAGGGGGCTTGGAGCAACCTGCTCCAGCGGGAGGGGGCCCTGCCTGTAGCGAGGGCGTTGCAATGAGATGATCTCTCTGTGGTGACACTTTGGTGCGTGGCTGCTCCCGCTTGTTGCGTTTGCTCCCCCCTGGACACAGGACGGCAGGAGCCCTGGTGGGCCACCTCCTATCCCAGGCTGCTCAGCAGGTGCCCCTGGGACGTGAAGAACCTCCTTGGCGGAGCAGTGGGCCAGGAGTGGTCTCTGTCCTTCTCATGATCTGCTGATGTGCCCGACCTGAGGCAGAGAGGAGGCCCTGGCTCACGTGACAGCTCTTGAAGGTTTGGAGTGTACTTCTCCCATCTTTTGTGCACACTCACCTTCCTAAAGCCCCACCAGGCTACGAGGTCCCTTCTTCCTCCTGCCTTTCCTACTAGGAGGAAGGAGCTTCTGGGGAGTCCTGGTGGCTGCTGGGACCTGTTTCCATCCCCAGGCTTTGAGTAGTGTCCACCGGGCAGCAAGAGTTTTCTGTGCTTCTGTTTTTATTAACCAGGGCTGTAAAAGACCTCACGTACGGCAAGTTTTGGATGTGGTGTGGCTGAGCAGCTCCAGGGGGAGCCGATGGTGCTGGACAGCGGGGGTCTGGA